CTCGATATGCATGCCAACGTTTTGGTTTTCCTTTTATGTGACATGCTTTTTCATGTTTGTCAAATATTTCTCTTTGGTTGTTTGCATTTTTCTTATTGATTTACACAAGTTCTTATTTATAGATATGTCTTTCGTAGGATAAGAAATTTGCAAATTTTTTCTGCCACCCTGTGTGCTACCTTTCCAATTCACCTAATCTAGCATTTTCTTACTCTGGATAAAGTTTAAGCTGTATAGTAACAAACATGCAGTCAAAAAAGAAGCTAAAAAATCCAACTAAAATCAAACAGATGTTTATTTCTTTCTCAGGTAATTGTTTAGAAATAGGTTTTTCAGGCTGGAATGGCTCTATTGCACAGTTGTTCTCATCTTTGGCTTCGGATTTTATCTTTACACAAGCTTAGTTAAATCTGGATCTCTGTCATATATCACATATGTTCTCTGTATATGGGAAGAGGAGAAAGGTAGTGACAAGTTCAGAATTTTTCAGATTAGGCATTGGACCAGAAGTGGTCCAATGGCTTCTGTTCAGTAGCCATTAATCCAAAATTAGGCGTAGGGCCAAAACTAATTGAAGAATGCATAATCTCTAGTTGCATGGTCATATGCCCAGCTAACACTCTCTTGCTATGAAGAAAAGGAAGGATAAATCAGGGTGAGTGGTAACTATCAGGCTTTTATCATCTATTTTCTATTTTAGTCAAGTAATCTATGAGGAGAGATGTAAAGTCACCAATATACAGAGGTATACATTATGAGGATAGAAGAGTAATAAAAGTGAGAGATTTGAGAAGGTTTCTGAAAGCATAAGGTTCAGAATTTCAACTCCAACAGTTTGTAGATTTACATAAGAGACTTCATGTGAGAGAAACATTCCATGAACCTGAAGTATTGTAAGGTGTTGGGGTTGGGAAATGAAACTAGAAAGGTGTGTTGGAATCCAAACACAAGGAGACTTGGGCTATTATTCTTACAGAGTGTAGACATTTTCTAGCAATCAAAGGCAAATAATGGAGGTCTTGTGAACTGGCTGTTAATCTGTACTCTTTCATGAGAAATGTGCCTTAACTTTGATTTTAAAGATAACTAACTCTTTTATTTTCCACTGTGCTGGTACAGACTGAAGCAATTCAGTAGTATGTTGAAATTCAGACTTAATTTTCCATGTTTTCAAGAAATTAAAATAAACTATACAGTGCAATAATTTTACTTCAGTTACCCCAGGGAATACTAGAGTGGAGGGTCAAATGGTACAACCAAGAAAATCGAAGATGGGGACATCTTTCGATAAAGAGCATAAATGAAGATGTAAACAACCTAAAATGAGTTGGGCTCCAACGTAATGTTCTGATGTGATGTTAAAAGCTGACTAAGGCTTTCATGAACTTGAACTTGAATCTGTGCAGTAAATTATCCTGGGGTGTAATTGGAGTCACATCCTTCCTCTGTCTGTGGGGAAACTCTCATTCCCATTGATGAGAACTGTGTACAAAGATCATGGGAAGAGCGTGGCCCTTGAGTTTCCTCTTCCACAGCCTGTAGGATTTGTTGTGATTACTTTAATGCACTGGTCCTTGGAGACACAAATTTCAGTTCTGCCTCTACCTTCCACAGGCTGAAAATAACAAAAGTTGGAGGTTGGGGGTGGGACCCCGGGGGGATGCAGATATCTTTTCATTCTTTCTTCTTTATCTATGATTGATTTATTATCAAAGAGGAAATTCTTGCTCCATGAATGCCAAATCATTAAACAACAACAACATGATTCCAACTATTGGAGGGAAAAAGTGTTGCAACTGACTTCCCTGGGATTTGGGCTTTCTTTGGGAACTTAAGGTCAACTCCTTAAGCCACTGGGATACTGCGAGTTCTGAAACACATTTATGTGTTAGAACATTTGTCCAGGGAGGTTTAGAAATATCTGTGGGCATGGCAACAGGATTTTCACTCAGAGAGTGTCTTGAGTTAAATGGAAAATGGTGAGTAATTACAGATCAGAACTGTGGGATTGTTACAAAGTAAAGCAGAGAAAGATATTTCTAAAGATGGTGGTCATCTCTGTCCTTCCCCAGCTCTCAGCAAAGCCGGCTGTACAGTGACTCTGGGTCTTCACCTAGATCCCCCTGCCTGTTCAGTTACTACAGGTAGGTTTTGATTTTGAGTTAAAAGTTGTTCTGCAGTTCTGGCATGTACTCCAGTTTTTCTCACCTGATACCTCCCTTGTTTGATTACTTGGGAGTAGAATTAGCACTTCCCTTGGCTATCAATTTATGCTCCTCTTTAAAGAAAATAAACATGCCTGAATATTTCTGCCAGATGATCAGTGTCAGACAAGGTAGATGTTTCATATGTATCACTAGGCAAATAAACAGTAGACATATGAAGCCAGAAATCTCCTCTGTGGGAAAAATGTGTTCCTTTACCAACTGTAGAATTTCATACCTGACAATACTTTTTTTCCCTTTTTTTGGTCTTTTTGAGACAGGGTCTCACTATGCAGCTCAGGCTGGCCTTGAGCTCACTTTGTAGCCCAGACTGGTCTCGAACTCACAACGATCCTCCGGCCTCAGCCTTCTGACTGCTGCGATTACAGGCGTGTACCACCACACTTGGCTAGCAATACTTTTAAAGAGAGGCAAGTGCACAGGTGTCACAGAGCCAGAAAAAGTAATGGAGAATGGGCAGATGAAATGTCCCTGCTGAAGAGCTTGTAGGGGATCGGATTCATGTTCCAAAGATCTTTTATGTCTGTCCTAGAGAATAAATATATTGAATTAGTCACTTACTAAGGATCCAGTTTGCTTCAAAATAGTCCTTCTTTCCACACCTTTGTCCTGGAAGAATGAATTCAGCTCTTTTAAATCACTTCATACACATTAATCCATTCAATCTGCACAGCAAATTTATGAGGTAGATACTGTGATCGTTTTGATTGTATGACAAAGGAAGCACAAAGAAATAAATCAGTCATGGTCTCAGAGATGCTGAATTGTGAAATTGAACTTGAAAACTAGGGGCTGTGGCTACAGAGTCTAACTTCTTCACACCATGCTGCGCTCTTCCATGAGACGACACTGAAGTGGACACTTACATGCTGGGAGTATGTAAGGGGAGACCCAAGAGCCTTTCTGAGAGAAAATACTCCAGGGAAAAGAAAACCTATGTGCAGGATACATGTTTCCCTTTCAAAACACAAGAAGATTTTGAGAGGAACCCTAGTAACAGGAAGATGTAATGACTATGAGCCTCGGTAAGGATTTTCCTTTGAGAGAACAGAAAGCCACAGAGAGTTCAAAAGGAGATAGGATATGACGTGATTTATAATTTAAAATAATATTGCAGCTGCTGTGTGAAGGCTTGATGAAAGCTGAGAACCTAATAGCGAATGTAAAATAAATTTTCAATTTGGTAACTAAAAAAGCCATTGATACGATCTTGTATTGGAAGTGGCCAACATAAGCTAAATGATGTCTTTGCCTGTGATCTGACTTGACCTAGGGAGTCAACTTTTCTATTGACTCCCCCACTGAAGGGATGGTCATTAGGTCATTGGCACCCCACACATGGATGCAGCTGATGTGAGGCTGGGGGAACTGCCCATGCTCCATAGCTGGCTCTGTCCTTGATGCTCCGACAGGCTACCTCTGAGTCCCACTCTGTGCACTATTGTCTTCCTTGCAGCCTGGTCATCTTCCTGAATTTTGGACTGCTGCTGAGCAGCAGAAAGACAGGCACTGTGTATGTTCTTACTACTATAGTGGCAGCTTTCTTCTGGGTCTGCTCAGCTGCCAGAGAGCAGGAGCGGGGAGCCTGTGCCAGAAGTGCTGAGAAGTCTGATATTCACCTCTGTAATAGCTGTTGGGCTCAGTCTCACTCAGAAAGGTTTTCTTTAGCAACCCATATATGAATGTGTCAACATTCTAACAATTGGTCCAGCTGCATCCATACATACTGGGTAATGACTATCCCCACTCGGGCCATAAAGGAAAGATCAGAGACACTTGTAATGTATTATAATGGCAGATCCAAAAGGTTTGCTAATCGATGACACCTAGGGTATGAAACAGGCATTACCTATGTCTCTGACAGGAAGACGAGGGAAAGGAGTAAGCTTTTGTGATTGGAAGTGAAGCGCAGGGTTTCAGACACAGCAACAACTTTTAGATGCTTATCAGATATCCAAGTGGAATGTCAGGTACCTATTTGATCTCAGAGCTCAGAGTTCAAAGTTAGAGATTTTCCAGTTATATGATTTAACCGATTAGCTCAAGAACTTAATAAACAAATACCATGTACTTGGTTAGAGTCATGCCTTTTTAAAAAATACGATCTGGACATATTCATGACTACCTGCCTAATTTGGTGTTCATGTATGAAAAGAAATAAAAGCAAACCCCTAAATCTGTGTGAAGGATCACATCATAATCCTGCTTTCAGAGTAATCTATATGAAATGCCAAAAAAAAAAAAAACAAAACCCTACATTGCTTATTAACATAGGATTTCTCTCTTCTACCCATGAATTTCTTGAAGATGTGGAAACTAAGGGAGATTAAATCAAGCTTTGATAGAATATCTCACTTTAGCAAGTGAGGTGATGCTAAACTCCTATTTGCCAGGTCTTCATTCACATATTACTGGGAAGAAAGTGTAACTTTAATTTGAGAAGTGCAAGATCCAAAGAAAAAGGACCTATTAGACTTTCATGATATATCAGGCTCAGAAAATAACACCAAGATGACATTTTAAAACCTGAAGTGAGACTTAGTCAGTGGGAGCTTGCCTAGCATGCACAGGGCCCTGGGTGTGATCTTCAGCACTGAGATAAGTTTTAAAAAAAACTCACAATGAAACAAAAGACAAACAAATAATGCAGTTCTTTTGAGTCAAGAGATCTGAGTAAGGAATCTCAGAAGGGTCATAACCAAATGATTTCATTCCATTCCTCTAAAAATGTCTTTTCTTGAGATGATATTGTAAAAGAAGAATCAGAAAACTACAGAGAGTATAAAATTTCTTTTAATAAACTGCTCAATATAGTGTTTCTGCTTGGGGCCCCTTAAGAAATGGAAAGCTGAAGCAAGTGACTGTCACGCTTGGGAGCTCAGTCCTACATGATAGGACTCCGCTTTTCTCCAAAGACCCCTTGTCCAGTTCTGCCCACTGGGTGGCCATACAAAGAGTCACTGTGAAGGACCAAGGGAATCAATGGGTCTGCTTTGAGACAGATAAACCTAAGAACTTTACCTTAGGCTTCTTACCAGGTTGGGTATCAAGAAGGAAGGAGAAGGCTGATACACAAAATGTGTTTAACATTATTTTACCTTTCCCCCCTCCTATTTGCTTTTTCAGAGAGAGGAAAAGAACCAGGGAGATCTGTGGTTTTACCAACTAAGCATTTCAAATGAGCTCCTTCCTGGTCAAATTTTGCATTCAAGGTGCATCACTATTAATGGATTTCACGTGTTTCCAACTGCGAGCAGTGAGCACACACTGCTTCCTACGTGTCTTCAGCATATCTTTGCAAATGCTGCCTGCGGAAAAGGAGTGTATGCCACAAATTCTGTTTGGGGTGTTATTGTTTATTGAGTGATGTTTCTCAGATAGGAATATCTTTTAGTGCATTAAAATATCAGACAAATTATTGCGCTCCAGCTCCAGTTCAGTCTGACAGTGCTCAGTGCCTCAGCCACCAACACTCAAAGAAAGACTCTGGAGGGTTGTTGTGATGTCATGATTCCAATGTGTTCTGATTTCCTTCCAGAGTCATAAACTGCACCTTTGGCACCATGAGGGAAGAGTTGTTCCTTCGGATAGAGTTGTTCCTCCTCATGGAATTGTTCCTCCTCATGGAATTGCGCTTCCTCAGAGAATTCTGGTGGGACAGCTCACTCTTTTGGAGGGTCTGAATGAGGATGGAAGGCTTCTCATCCAACTCCCGGGCACTGCACCGTGGAGCAGCCACCTTAACAGTGTTGCCAAATTTGGAGTAATCCACTGAATATACACCTTCCTCCTCGGTCACAATAGACACAAAGCGATGGCCCCACTGAATCTCCTCTGCAATGTAGGAGGTTCGTGCTTGTGTGGTAATGCCTGTAGTTTCGACCACACCTTCTAGAATAACTATGACCTCCAGATCTTGGCTGTCGAGGTCAGTGGCTGAGATATCATACAGGGGGCTGCGCTTGTCAATCACATGGCTGATGATCAGAGGGGCCACCAGGAAAATGTTATTACTCTCGATTGGATTGTCGACAGGAATGTCCAGCTGGTGAATAGGCACCACCTCCCCTTCAGGGGTGGTTGTCTTCTTGACCACCTGGATGCGCACAGAGGCACTGATGATCATGCTTTTCCTCAGGTCGCCCACTCGGAACATGAAGCACAGCTTGCCGTTTCGGACAGCAATGACTGCATGGCGGCTGAAAATCAAAGTCTCTGCCCTTCTGTGAGCCTGAGCTGTTTTCATGAAAATACAGCCTAACATGACCGCATTGATGATCAGACCCACAATGTTCTGGAGAATCAGCACCGTGATGGCCAGAGGGCACTCCTCTGTCATCATCCTCCCTCCAAATCCAATGGTCACTTGAACCTCAATGGAGAAGAGAAAAGCAGAGGTGAAAGACCTGCAAAGAATGATACCAGAAAACAATGCCATCAGAACGGAGTTTTGAAGAATGAAAGAATATTCCAAGCTTGACTTTTCATTTCCTTCTTTTACAGGCTATAAATGTTTTTGGAAAGACTACCCAACCTAGCTTACCAAATGCCTAACTGAAAAACCAGTATGATTCCCCCTCCTTTTTTCTCTCCCCCTTTTCCACATGCCTCTGTCCATCTACCTCCAGACTTCTAGAGCAAAATTTCATTAATGTCGTCCAGGGGTTGTGTGAAACATGGACAGGATAAACGTATACAATAAATATAAATTATATCGATAGGCATATTTTACTTTGTGAAATATTCACTTTCACAAAGAATTAATGCACTTTGTGGTACTTTCTACCAGGTAACTTTTTATTATGTACTGCATATCCAAGTTTAAGAGATTTGAACTCTACAAACTGAGGAACCAGTGAACTTTTTAAATCATAATCATTAGCTAATATTTTTTGCATACCTTCTACAGAGAAAGCAGAGTGCAAAAGCTTGTCATTCCCAAATACTAGTATTTTAAAATAAAGAATATTCTTCTACTTGGAAAGAAAATTATTTCTTGATTATCTCACTTTGTTCTCTAAGTGGTCTAGAGAATTGGGATGATTAAAGGAAAAATTTAAGGCAGAGATTACCACATATCCATGTCAAGATCACATATTATTAGGAACTTCAGTCCTCTCAGTTCTGGCCTAAAAGAGGCAAAGGGAAGGGGCCAACAAATGTCAAGATTTTCTTGGGAAGCTTTTTCAAATTACACATCTCAGAAAATGTACACAGATTCAGTAGGCTCAGGGCGGACCTGGGTGAGACTCTTTGAAAAGCTCCCAGGTGATTCTGACTTATCCCTGGTAGGGAAGTGCCACATCTGGTTAGTATTAAATTATTTACTTAATTCCATATCTACTCCTGCAGTGGCCTCTTCATAGAAACAGTACTGTCTTTGCCACCCAACTTCAAACTTCTCACATTTTATAGAAGACAAAGCATTCATCAGCCATCTGTCAAAGTATTATCTGTAGTCTAGTAATCAAAGTCTAGTAATGCCAGGTACAATGACTTAGCAAAATGTTTAAACATTTGAGTCCTTGGTACACAAAAAGCACGCTAGCATGACTCGGGAAAGACAAGCCAGTATCGCAGACATTGGTTGGCTTTTATCTCGAGTGTTGAAGTTGCCCTTTTTCCTCTCTTGCTGCTGAAAGGACTCATGGACAACTACAGTAAGTGCTTTCTGCACTAGCTTCACACCATGATATATTCTGTAGTCTAAATATATGGCAAAGAATAGAAATGACCATGAGAGAAGAGGCCTGGGTACTATACTGATTTCTAAAAATGGCCCATAATTCAAGGAGCAGTTTAATGATGAATAGCCCCAAGTGTTTTAGTGGTTTAAGACAGTATAAATATGGACCACATTTTTATATCATATAGTTTATGGAAGAATTTAATCCTAATCATTATCTATTATTTCTGTCATGCTAAACAATCTCAAGAGATAAAAGTATTTAACTGCTCCTCTTTTGTGTACAGAGAGAGCTACATTGAATGATAGTGACAAAGAGGAAATATTTTCTGTCTTCCGACTCAGAAAGTCAACTACACAAAGAAGAAAGTGAGTCACTCTAAAAGAATGGCCAAATGGTGCTTGATAATACTTGTGAATATCCACTGAAGAAAAGTTGTTTCTAACTCTGACAATATGCTTAGACAATGAATCTATGAAAGGAACAGAAATGCAAACAATTAGAATTTTTATTACTTATCTTTTAAATTCTTTATGGGAGAGAATAAAAGTGTTTCTATTTCTATACTTTAATTGGAAACATTTCTACATAGTTTGCTATAATTAAACTGTGGAGATTAAAGTATAAATTGTACCATAACATTAAACTCAGTAAGAAGAGAAATCACCTTAGACATCATAGAGTTTTAAGAAGTGCAATTCAAAACACTAATATTGTTTTTTTGACAGAATCATTTTTCTTCCATGGTATTGTTGACATCATTTATCATAGTTCACACCCACAGGGATGCATCCAAGAAATGATTATGTTTCAGAACATTTTATTTCAAAGATAGTATGTAGCAGGAAATAGCTTTTAAGAGCCAGTGCACCCTGTAAAATTCTTTTAAAATTATTGAAGGGATATTTCTCTTGATGACATATATTTCTAAAATTGGTAAATGATATTTTACATAGAAAAAGATAATATATTTGTCTTGTAAATAAACTCTGTCATTTATTGTCAGGTTTATTATTATCATTTCTTTTATCTCCTCCCATCAGTACTAACTACATAGTTACCAAAAACATGTTTATATGAAAATGATTCACAAAGATCAGGGCCAGTAAGTTTTCCTGTAGAGAAAGACAATATTATAGATGTTGATACTTGACTGTCAAATCCCTATTACACCCAGAATTTTGTTTCCTTTATATCTAGTGTACTGATGATGAGCTATGTTTTTCATGTACATTTTCTTGAGACAATATTTCGTGACAAGTTTGAGAACAGAAAATGATATCTACTCAGTGGTAAAGGCAATAGATCAATTTAGTACACCTTTCTTTAAAATCTGAGTTGAAATCTGTGGAGTGTGATCCCCAAATACCAGCGCTACACCCAACCTTGAAATGCTGGCGTTGCATTTACTTAGCAAATGGAAGGGTAGCAAGTTCACACTCCTGTGTTTGTTTCTTGCAGTGTGGCATGCTAGTTTCTTAAGATTTCATGTCATTAAAGTCTCACTCTGCAGTTTCCTGGATGTCATGGTGCTTGCAGATTATGTGAATTTGTAATATTATTCAGAAAACATCTTGAAAGTTCTAGTATTATTTCTACTGCCACACTTCAAAGTGAAAACTTCTTCAACTGGTAAATGATGTCTTTCCATCTCCGATAAAACAAATTTAGAAGCAAATCATTCCAACTAAATGTTCTCAGGACGTGTGAAAGGATGAAAAAACTATTGGAATCAAAAGTACTTTATCTATCTTTGAAATATTTATGTAAGAAGCCAAAGTAAAGTAATCTAAGAATTGTCTTATTCCATTAAAACTTTGAAAGACTGCAATATTAAATTGTTCTTACATAACAGCCTTCCACAATAATTTTGAGCATATTGCCATTAAAAATTAGTATTTTCTAACCGTGAATCCTGAAATAACTCTTAGTTTCTGAGTCCAGTCAAACAATCAGCTATGTTAAGATAGTGTGCTAGTGCCCTTGTCTTTTTCTTATTTCTAAAAATGTCACGGTTGAAAGAAGTCATAGAAAAATATTACTGGCATCTCACAACATTTTGGGCTGATTGGAGATATTTATTTGTAGGCAATGGAACGATGGACAGCAACTTTTTTCATACTGATAATTAACTATATGATTTTGGAGTAAGGACTCTTCTGGGCTAAAACAATTGGAAAATAACTGATGTAATATTTTCAAAGTCTGCCCAAATAACTGAAGCTCCACATTTTCAGACGCTCTTCATCCAAAGCTACATTGGTAAAGATTTTTAATGTAGTAGGTTTTTTTCTTTATTTCGCTTTCCATTTGCTTCTGAACCCATTATTTATCTTACTTTCAACAAAACAGTAACATAAGAGAAAGGACGTTTTGATTTTTTTTCCCTACACTGCTTGTAACTATCCCGCTTCCTGTCACTTCACTCTTACCTGACATTAGTCACACACACAGTGGACTCCAGGGCACTTTTCTCCAAGCCACTTTTCTCCATGTAAGCGTAGATGTCCCCGTGGGCAAAGGCCACCAACCACCACATGATCGCGAAGAGCAGCCAGCTGCAGAGGAAGGACATGGTGAAGATGACCAGCGTGTGGCGCCATTTCAGGTCCACCAAGGTGGTGAAGATGTCCTGCAGGAAGCGGCCCTGCTCGCGGATGTTCTTGTGCGCCAGGTTGCAGGCGCCGCTCTTGGCGATGAAGCGCGCTTTCGGGAGGCGGTCGCGGATGCGCGGCTTGCGCAGGTTCTCGGCGGCGATGCGCGCCAGCACGTACTCCTCCGGGATGATGCTTTTTCGAGCCAGCATCTTCCCGTCACCATAGCCAGCCTACCCGCCTGCTTGCACCTGCCTCCAGACCTGTCCTCCTGCACAAGGAAAATGCTGATTAAAAACTTAAAAAACAAAACAAAACCCTGCACTTCTGGTCTCTGCAGTCCCTGCATTCAGGATATATTTACACATGCGAAGCGATACGCGAGGCTGAAAGCACGATTTTTATCCCCCATCTAGTTCGTGCTGGAGAAAATTTTTGGTCTGAATCAAGAGAAGTTTCTATTTTTCTTATTACTCGGAACACATAGGGGTATAGCCTGAGTTAAAACCTGAAGCCTTCTTGCAAACAGAGGCTCAGCGGTCCTTGTTTGCCATTAACCCCATGTACATTTTAGTGCAAGATACCGGCACGGCGCATCCACGGCGAAACACGAAAGCGAGCCGGGTACGCGATGTACGTGAGCAAGTGTTCCTACGACGTAGAAGCGATATTAAAAGTAAAGCGGGAAATTCTTTCTTCGTTATTTTTAGAAGCAGGCAGAGAAAAAGCCGCGGCCTCTTGCGCGGTTTAAATAACATGTTAAGTGTCGTCTGAATAAAGAAAGAATAAATAAAATAGAATAAAGCGAGACGCTGCGGAACTTGAAAAGCGTGCCTTATTTTAAACGTGAAGGAAGTACGAGCCGCGGTATGAAAACGCAATGCTATGGAACTTGACAATTACGAAGAATTATTTTAAGTGTGCAGGCAGTGCCAGGTGCAATGTAAACGCAGCATCCCTTCCAAAAAAATAAAAAGTAAAAAATAAAGAAGAACCCTTTTCATGGACGCAGAACGCACTGAAAAATTCTTTCCAGCGAGGAGATCAAACATATACAAGAAAACCCGGACAGCGGCTTAACGGCTGCGGCGGAGTTACAGGGCGCGCGTCCGGGGAGCCCGTCCAGCCCAGTGACGCTCGGCGCCGCCGCCGCGCGGTTTAAAGCCCCGGCGGGGAGGCGGACGGCCCCCTCCCGTCCGCGCCGCAGCAGCTTAAACTTACAGAGTGCTGGGGGCGCCCCGACCTCCCCGCGCTCGCCGGCGGAGCGCGCGCGGGGCCCCGGCGCTCCCATCCCGCGCGCGGG